TATCGCAGTATTGCGAACTTATTTGGAGTGGGAAAATCGACAGTATGCACAATTCTTTCGGAATTTTGTAAGGAAGTATGGAAAGTATTGCACCCAGGGTATTTCAACTACTTTCCGCTAAGTAGAGAGACCATTGAAGAGTGTGTTGATGGTTTTAAAAGCATTGGATTCCCTCAATGTTTGGGAGCGCTTGGTAAGCTTTTCTTAAAATTGTAAAACTGTGTATAAACAGCTACATATAATATTTTTAAGATGGTTGCCACATAGAAATTCGACCTAGAACGGAAGAAGCAGTAGATTATATCAACTATAAAGGATGGTATTCGACAGTTTTACAAGCTCTTGTTGCATATATTTTTTTCGTTTCTTTTTAAGATATCGTTTTCTGTATATAAACGTTGGCAGTCCCGGACGATGCAATGATTCCCAAATCTTTGAAAAGTCCAGCTTAAAGAGAGAGCTAGAGAAATGTTCGCTTCTGTACTCAATGAGCACAAAATTAGGAAACTTTGATATACCAGTTGTCATTCTTGGAGACTCCGCTTTTCGTTTTTTCCAAATATCTAATGAAACCTTTTCCATTCAGTTTGGATAAAACACCAGCGCAAAAAACTTTCAATTATCAACTTTCGAAATCACGTAGAGTCATTGAAAATGCTTTTGGACAATTGAAAGCAAGGTAATTAAGCAACATAAAAGTGGATTTTAAATAAAAACACTTAAAAGAATAACCTACTTGCATGTGTATGTACAATTATAGGTTTCGTCGAATTGGAAAAGGCATTGATAACAGAATTGATAATGCGAATTCCATTATAAAAACTTGTTGTGCCTTGCACAACTTTCTGATAGCGGAAAATGACCAAGTTTCACTTTCTTGGCTAACTGAGCAGAACGATAACGACAGCAGTAGAAGGCCAAGAACGATAGAATACAAGATTGCGCATTCCCGCAGAATAACATTTGTGGCAACGGGTAAACAAAGAATATGGCGAAGAACAATGAGTTGACAGTTGTGAATTTGCAGTGAGAAAACGTGTTTTCTTTTCGATTCACCAATTTCTCAAGCCATCTTTGAATATACGTTAACAAAAAATATACAACCACTCTTGAAATGTGTTCAAAAGAATAGGTCTTATTAATTAACTATTAGAATTTTTGTGTTTGTATTGCAGGTGCCGAAAAAGTGATAATATCTTGTCGCAGCGCATGTTTTCCTGCAGAAAGTGGTCGATGCTTGCTTACCTCCGATTTTAATTTGTAATTTGTGGTATTTCAACGTTTTCAACTTAACATGTCGTGTTTAAAAGTGGTCCGTAAAGTGCTTCATACATATTACGCTGGTGTCTAAATTTTATGGCTTCTCCTGCCGGCAGAACTCTACCCACTTTCTGGCCAAGGCGTCGCCGCGGGGAAACAAAAAAAAACTGCATTTGGGGGCTTTACCCCTACGGCTGCTGCAATTCAACACACGCCACGACATTTTTATAAAGTTTTTATTACAAATAAAACGTTTTTTACTTCAGAACGCACGAATTACTTCGATTTTTCACTTGAAAGTACACAATACGTTTGCAATACGTTTACACTTGTTTCTAAACAAAAAGTTTGTTTACGTATTGCCATAAATGTCAAAGTCGGCAAAACCAAAGTAGCGGTTTCGGGAATGCGCCACCTTCAGTTCATTTCACCATGGTAGAAGGCAACCACAATCCGCGGATTTGCACCAAAGCCTAACAGAAGCTGAATCAATAAGGAATGCTTTCACTTCATACTTCAGTACGTTATTATCACATTTATTTCAGTTTCATTTTTTCATCTTAATATAAAGCCAAAGAGCCTTCATTCGTTTTATAAAATAAAAAATTTCAATCAAAAAAGGAAATATACATACATATGTATGTATATGTATGTATATTACATTGAAAACAAAAAAGTTCATATCACAAGATCTAAGATACTACTTTCTTAACATAAAAAAAAAAAATCACAACATATTTGATTCCATTTTCTTAAAGAGTAATTCTTAAATCTATAAAAAAAAACAGTTCACTTCATTAGATCTTACATACTATTTCCTTATAATCTATTAAATGTGTAAAAAAAATTATTAAATTCACAAGACATTACATACTATTCCTTAAAATCTATTTAAAAAATCTAAAACACCATCCGTCAATCTTTTCGCGTCTTTCTGCAGCTCCTGCATTGCCATCAGTTTTGCTTTTTCAAGTTCCACCAATTCTTCATTTGATTTGGGAAATTTATCCATAGCTTCCGAAAAATTGGTCTGGAGGCTTTCGCAGACCGTCACTAACCGATCCATTTGTTTTTTTCTTCTAGATTTGTCGGATGCTGAGGACGAAGTAGACGGCAATGGTGATGGCGATATCTGGGTCAGAGATGGCGGCAGCGATGAGAGATGGGTTGGTGACTCTGAAACTGAAAATGAATTTTTAGAATTTATGCACATAGATTAAGATAAAATGTAATAAATAGTTTTGCATCAAAGGCAAAGAATTTGAATGTCTTCCATCGAGACTTACCTTCAAAACTTTCTTCAATTAGAGCCTCTACATTATTTATTGAGAAGCCACCAATTATTTGGTGCACTTGCTCATATAAAGGCCATGATGCAGGAGAGCCTCCTGTTGTTCCCATAGCTGTCTTGGCCCTTCTATGAAAAATGCGTACAAAGAAGTCGGAAAAATCAACCAACACCAACACACAAGTATTTTATTCTTTCTTGAAAGGATTAATGTTACCTATATTTCGCCGTCAGATTATCAATCTTCATTTTAACTGATGAGGAGTTGACATTATAGCCCTGCAT